ATTGGTCGCATAGCTCCCCTATCTCCCTCCGGTCAATGTTACCCTTTGGGATGGAATAATCCTCCTCCGATCGGAAAAACAATCACTCCGTTCTCAAAGAATGTAATGAAGTCGCCCAAGCGACGTAATGAAATGGTTATCAACCTGGTGTTGAGTAGATAAAGTCGATCGCGGTGCTTTTGAACATGGCCCTACGCTGACACATAGTGATAACAGCGGAGGACTGTGTCGGATACGTGCTTTGTCGCTACTGATCTGATGAAACGACTTGCTTGAGATAGAATGAAAGGAGTGGTCCCCGGAGCACCTTTTATCTACATAGCCGGGCCCCATCACCATACTCTCGCCGCTCCCAATTCGCAAGGGTTACGGTCACTGACCAGGCTGCAACAGGAAGTTTCGATGAGTCAGAGATGCCTAACGCTACATGCGATAGTATAGTGGTGATTACCGAGTTGGGGAAACAATGCATGCGGTGGTGTGCGATCTGCAAGCACCACTCCGTGCCCGAGTTGTATGCAGTGGATGTAAGGCTAACTGCAACAGCCAATTGTATTGACCTCGAACCATTCGGCGCAGAGAGTTTGCTGCCTAGAAGCCCACTGTTCCCGGTGCACTTAGCTATCATTCACGCGGGTACAGCCCGATGAACATACGTATGGGCAGCAGCGACCGGTGAAGGCCGCCTAATGCCGACGCAACCATCAAGACAGTAGAAGTACGGAAGCTGCAGCTACCCCGCACGAAGAGCCGCCCTACATCCTGCCGCCTGCATGACAAATCTTGAGCACCAACAACTGCCAAAAGGCGACGCGTTCTCACCGAGCAAGGCGCATCTACCATTGATCGGACGTCGGGTGACCAGAATTGTGAACGATCGAGGCAGTATACTCCAAACCATAGCCGGGCCGGTACGATGGCCACGTCATCGTCGCAGGTGCGTCCCGGTAGAACGTGGACACCCAGCCGACGCCGAGTATGCAGAACGGCCACAGCCTAGCCGCCCGAAGAGTGCCCGTGCTGCTGCTGCTGCTGCGGCAATGGTCACGCCATGTTCGAGAACAGCAGGATTTAGCGATGGCGGATCAGGGAATGAAGCACAAAGACGGCGTTAGCGATGTCGCAGGCCTCGATACATGCTCTTGGGCCTCGCTGAGACGAACGGCGCAAAGTCATTCAACGGTACTCGTGCACCCGGCGCACCATGGACATATCGGAATCATCAGCGACAAAGGTAGAGCGCCCAGCCAAGGAGCAAGCGTGCCTTTTCCACCCCACACTCCCCTTTGAGAGGCCCGACGCCGCGGCCCGTCCCGCACCATGCAGGGATACTCCAAGGCCAACACGATCCTGAACGTACACCATGCACGCATTCCCCCACTAGCGAGAACCGGAAGTTGGCGGACGGAGAGATATGATCCACGCACTGGCCACCAAATGAGGTCATGAGCCAATGAGCCGTTTTTGTATCTAGACAATCGTCAATAAGCGCCTTGAACACTTTAACTGGCTTGCTGGGGAGTTGCAGCCTTGATGCCTGGCGTGCTGCGACGAGGTAGGGTGTGGAAGGCGTTTTCTGGACAACAGTGAAAGGCGCAAGATCACAGGACCGAAACGTCTTTATCCACCGCACGACGACACCACAAAACTGTTCCTGTACAGCATGCAGTTGACAATGGAACGTGCAGCCATCATCCACAAGGCGCAGGAGCAGGTTATTCATTGGTGAGACGTGCTGCATCCCATTTTTGGCGGCTCTGGTTCGAGGTGTGCGGGGTGACGTACCGCAGGACTTCACGCGACTTCACGCGGGAGGGCATTGGATGAGCGAAATTACCGTGCACCCGGATCCACAGAGGTGAGCGGCTCTATCCTCAGGCTAGCCGCAGGCGGAACCGGCCTTATGCCGGTGCAGGGTTACAAGGCAGCCAACGGCGATGAGGGGTGTGCTAACAGTGCACAGCTCGACTTTAGTGTCAACTACCGATCGTCTGGATCAGTAGGTCACAGGTGTGCTATGGAAGTAGGGTTCGACACAGCCCATCGTTCACTCCTGGACAAGGCTCAGGAAGCAGGTCGTTGATGAGACATGCTGCATCACCTTTTGGCGGTCGACCCTTGGCTGTGTCCATCAGGCAGACTCGTACAGTGTAGGCTTGTCTCGAATGTCACAGGAGTGGCTGCGATGACCACAGCGGAACACCAAAAGGATGGGGTCATTGTTCGCTCTGTCTAGCGAACCATCATCGCATACGGGTCACAGCCAGGCCTGTGACACGGGAGACGAGATGTTAGCCAACCATTTTCTGTGGCTTGCAGGGAGTTGCTGCCTTGAAGCCCACATCTGGCCTTCAATTACACAACGCTACATACGAATAGACGTTCCTGCAAGGCATGGGTTGTTCTGCAGCTTTGCAACTCGCTTTCGGTGAGAGAAGTCGGGTGACAAGCACAATGTGAACAGTGTCGAGAAAATGTTTGGAGTTCGCAGTGCCACAGCCCAACAAAACCCCTCGAAAAGGAGCGGCTCAAGTAGCCGAGAGACGGGTTTCAGAGGTCAGGAAACAGCCTACACAGAGGAGGCCAGAAATAGCACCCCTCAAAATAGCTCTCGAGGGAGCCAAAGATAACATGCAAGTTCCATCTGAATGTGGATCCCGAGCTAGGGAATGCGGCGGGAGGAGCCGCACTTGGCGCATCGCGAATCTTCACATTTGACGCCAAGATGTGCCCGTCATCCTGCCTGGTGCGCACGCCTGCCCAGCCAGCACGTGCTCTAGACTGAGCTGTGCCAGCTCCAAAGGCAACGATGTCAGGGAAAGGCCGACGGTGGTGAGGTTGGGCAGCTCCACACCCGAAGAGGTCGAAGGGATCCATGACAAGGAGTGTCAGGCTGCCGGGCGAATCCGCCCAGGTGGGTTCTCATTGGCTTGGGTGAGAACAGAGACCGTGAATGATTGGCTCGCGTTACAGTGGGGCTGGGCAAGCTGCTCCGCGGCGCCAGAATCGACAACGCAGCTCCTTCGTCGGTTTGTGGAAAATGGGTTCCTGTCGAACACATCACCCAACGTTGCGACATCCATGCACAACGATGCTTAGATATCTTTGTTGTCTGTCGCGCTCAACGCGATCTCCTCTGCTAGCTGCAACACTGCCAGCCACTCAGACACGCCCCTCTTCTTCCCAGACAGGGAAGAGGGGCCAGAATCCGAAAATCAACTTCCCCGCAATCGAAGCGAAGTGGCAGATCAAGTGGGACGCTCGAAATGATCGCACTCCACAAGACGTATCCGTCCGTCACGATCCATCTCGATTGTCACCATTCTATCTCCCGCACCTGCATAAACCGACGACAATCCTAGAGACCTTGCAGTGGCATTACGGCAGACCAGGCTCCCGCTTTAAAGACAGAAAACGCACAGTGTTGGATTCGGTTCTCGGGCTTTCGCTGTCCAAATTCACCGAACTCGATGGACATATCCAAGAATTCGGTGCAGATATTGTCCGAACCTTTCTGGTTTCCCGCGATCCGACATTTGAAGGCGATGAGATCTGCAGAGAAGAACTTGAACGGACTCAGAGATGGCTCGAGTCGGTCTGGGAAGCTGTTTTATCGGCCCATGACTCTTACGGAACTACCCAAAGTTGCCCAGAGAGTCCCAACGTTCCGGAGGCTTTGTACGAGCCTAACCTCAGCAGTTGGGTTGATCACATCAGCGAGGAGCATTTCCAATGGGTCCAAGTTCCTCCAGAAGAACCCAAAATGCCAGACCCGTCGGCAGACCAGGACGAACATCATCTTTGGCTCGCCACTCAAAAAGCAATTCTCGCTTATACAACACCGATCACTCGCCGGAACAGCCTTCTAGCTATAAAAACACGGCTCGTACGGCTAACGCAGGCTATCTCTGACTACGGCGAAGCCTACTGTGTGTCGTGTAGTATGCATTACTACTCCGCTCGTGTCTTACTTTCCCTCCTTGCGCCCTCAGCGCCAGCCTTTGCGGAGGAATGCTGGGTCCTCTTGCATTATGGACGCGAACAGGACAGTGGTGACGGGAGCGAATCAAGAGATCACTTCGACGAAGCCATTTGGGAGGAGATTATCGAAGAGACTGAGGATCTTCCGGATCGACATCTTCCAAGACAGGACAGACCTGATACGCTACAGTCGATCTTTGACCAGCCCTTCCCCGTTGTCAAGGAGGGCCGCTTGTCACAGACGAAAGACTCTTCTGGCTAAGCCACGCCAAAAGCGACGAGAAGAACCATTTGTGCGATTGGTGTGCCGAAAAGGTGTACTTTGCTATCCCATAATGATTTGCGCTCTGCATGTCTGCAAGGCAGCGCGTCCTCGGACAAAGCCCGCCCATTTTCAGCGTGCCTGGCCCTGCCATTCGCGTAACCCCCGAGAAGGAGCGGCCCAAGGAGCCAAAAGCGGGTTTCAGAGGTTAGAAACAGCCTACAGAAAGGAAGCCAGAGATGGATGTCTCTTTTTGGAGCACCCCTGCAGCTAAGAATGGCTCTTAAGCCAAAATTAGGATGCTGGGGCAGTCACGCAGGGGTGGCCAAAAAAAATGGAGCCCTGCAACATGCAAATGCCCTCTGATTGTGGATCCCTGGTTCGGTGTAAGTTGAGCGTGATTGCAGTGGGAAGAGCCAAATCTGGCGCATCACTAATCTTTCAACAACATTCCGCAATTCTCCTACCGAGCAAACACAGTGAGAACGATTAAACTCAGGTATGAGCTCCGCAGCTTGATGGACCCTCCAGGAAATTGAAAAGCAGGCACTGCAGGGTTCGCAGCGAGAGGTGATTTTGGCTATGGCCCGTGCTTTGGTTGCGGGGTACAGGTCTCAATCTGGACCGCTATCGCAGACGCCACTTTGGGCGGAAAGTGTTAATCAAGCCACACAGAGCGCGTATCCAACTCTGTAGGCACGACGAGCTCCAGATGCAACTCTCATCCTCGTTCAAATGGTACCAACTGTGGTGCGTCTCACTCCACGTCAGGTTCTTCAGTCGACGCCGGCGGCGGTATAGTTCCTGAAGACGTCGAGGCCTGCGTGGAGGACCTTGCCGGTCGTCGAGACGCGCTCTGGCGTGTCCTCCTGGCCGAGCCGTGTTTCTTGTGTGGCTGGGAATTCGACGGGGGACTGTCGGGTGCCCTGGTTCGTTTCGAACTGGTCTGGCTGAAGCTCGACGTGAAGCTCGTGGCGAGGCTTATAGCCGATTCGGCACCAAGAGATGGGGACTCCTGGCTAGGCTCTTCGTCCTCGGCATAAAGGTACTGTGGGAGAGCCGGTTCCTCCCCGACATCTCCGGATGCGGCATGGTTCTCGGTGCCGACAACTTGTGATCCGGTGTAGTCCTCGTAATCTATAAATTCGTCGGCAGTCGATTCTTCATCCTGTTCTGCCACTGCAACTATTATTTCTGCTTCAGGCGGTGACTCGGCATTGGACTGGCGAGCTTGTGCATTCGCCGCCTGAATAAACCTGTCGCGGTGCCTCTGTGCCAAATCTCTCGCATTTCTGAACGCTGTTGCGCCCTGAACGAATGTCTCGCGGCTATCTGTCATGTCGAAGCCTCTGAGCTTCGTCATGTGGTACTCGGGCCGGCCCCCCAGCGCGGTCGGTGGCGTGACGTGGTGCGCGTACAGCTGGAGCGTGCCCGTGCCGGCGTGATAAGTCGAGCTGTAGGTGTACGCATTGCCGTCGAAGGCGGGCTCCTCCTCGTCCTATCCCTTTCTGGCGCTCCCCGCCAACGTTGCCACGCCATCGCCCTCAGCCCCAACAAATGGATCCCTCCAAACCTCATCCGGCGGCAACGCCACCATGCTGGCTCCCTACCGAACAAACTCAGCCGCCTCTTTTGCTGTGTACGTAAGGAAAGCTGCATCCGCGTGTTGACTCAGCGATGAAGTGGGAGTATTAAGTTTATCTCCTACTCCTGACGGCCCGGCGGCGTCTTTATGGTGTTCCGAGGAAAGCATCACGACGTGAGGCTCGTACTCAGCAAGGCGATTGTTAGACAAGAAGGGCCGAGATGAAGTTGAGGCTCAAGTTTGTGTTGGATTGCGAGCATCAAAAGATGGCCTGACCAGGCGAAAGCGCCACCATCCGTCAACTCTTCCTCAAACCTCGTTAGGAACGACGTAAAGCTCTCCTTTTCCTCTTGTGTCATCTTATCCAGGTTATCAAAGGCTTTTCAAGCTATATTCGGGTCCCGGCACAGTAGCAGGATGTCAAATACTGTGCCGTCAAAACCCCCGGCCCGCCGGGGAGGGAGGGGGTTGTGTGAAGGGGTTAGGAGGGCAGGCTCCTTCTTTGCCTGAATGGGCGGCGCGGGCGGTGCCCGAGAGACATCGTGCACCGTGATCGTCTTAGAAGCCTATTTTCAAGGTAATAAGTCCGCCAATGTTACATACAAACACACACACATACAACTCATTCCGCCTGGCAGGTTTAACCCGAAAGGGCAACTATAGTTTTTAGCAATACATTTCCTCCTTAGAGCCTATACAGGCCAGCGCCTTTCGAAACTGGCTTCCGTCCTCTGGGCCCCGACTTTCTTCTGCGCACATACCATGTATTCTGTCGCCAACGGGTACATTGGATTATCTGCCAGGTACTTCCAGCGAGAATGCGTCAAGGCCCTCCCTTTCTCATCTGGAGAATGAGAAAATCGATTTACGACTGAACTATGATGCGTACAGTATGTACATACTGTATGATACAGCCAGGAACAAAATCATTTATGTAACGGCCTCAGGAGTGTATTTCAACTAGCTGATGACGACTCTACGAGTACATCTAATGTTGAAGAAAATGGAAGAAGAAGAAGAGGAAGAGGAAGAAGAGGAAGAGGAAGAAGAGGAAGAAAGTAATCCCCAATCTGATGACGTGGCATTTCTGCCTGAACAGACGAGGCGATAACCCGAAAGAGGCAGGCACGATGAGGGTCGCTGCCCGCGATGTTGGTATTGACGTTCAGAGCAGGGGGGTGCGACGAGGGTTAGGGTTGATTGAGGGTCGCCGAGGTCTGTCCATGGCTCAGCCCGTTACAATTTAGGCACGGACCAATACTACTCTAGGAAAACAGAGAAGTACAAGGTAAGAGCCAGTAACGGCTGACACCTTGGTAGCGTCTTTCTTTGCTGACGTGGCGTTTGCAGGTACCCTCAGGTAGCGCTGGGTAAATACAACAGCTCAATTTAGGAATTACGCACTATATAGATATCCAAGAATTTGATCAATAGGACGCCGGTTTTGCTCCTAGCTGTAGAGCTTTGACAATATGAATTCTCTACGGATGCTCTTCTGCTCTGCGCCCCTGTAGGTTCACTATCGTTCGCATACGAACCGTGATGGGTCGCTCTCCCTCGCCCGCCAGCCGATGGTCCGTTTGAAGCTCCTTGTCCAACTCGAACCGCTTGATCAACAGGCTCAAAAGCAGGGCAGCTCCCGAAATGGCTACGTATACCGCAAACACACCCCGAAACCCAAACACATACGCGTCAAGCACCCGCGATTTGAACGCACTATTGTCGGGTAATCTGAGCAGCTCGGCGATGAGACTCTCGCTCTCCGCGGCGATACCCGTTGGCAAACCCTCCCACCTGAGCTTTAGCGACATCATGTTCTGGAAGGCAGAGCCACCGACGCCGACGCCTATCGCCATGCCGAGCTGGCGAAGGAAGCCGTACATGGCTGCCGCGGTGCCCTCCTCTCCTCGATTGCACATGGCTTGCGACGCAAAATTCTGAGCGTTCAGGATGGCGCCGTGACCGAAGCCAAGGAGCACGAGAGTGGTGGCCCACAGAGCAGCAGGGGTGTCAACGTTCCAGATGAGGGTCAGACCCGAGGCCACGGTAGTCAAGACCCACCCAGCCCAAATCGGGTACCGGTAGTCATTCGTACGGGTTACTAGTAAGCCGGTCAAGATAGAGCCGGGGACGAGCGTGACCATGACGGGCAAGAGAACTAGACCGGTTTGGATTGGGCTGTAGCCCTTTACAGCGAGAAAGTAGAAGGGGACATAGTATAGTTGGCCATAAATCTAACAAGAGTAAGCACTCGCCGCACGGCGTGACAGGGTGGACATACGACAAGGCCTTGGATGGCACCGCACAGGTAGGTCGCAGCTGAGCTGGCATTCCAGAAGAGGCCCAAATGCAGGAACGGTTCTCTGGCGAAGAGACACTCGTAAGCCGCCGTCCAGAGAAGCCCGGCCGCGCCAAGGCACAAGGGGACGAGCGTGGCAGCACTGAGCCATCGGAATTGGATGCCCCCCCAAGAGACTGCAATGAGAAAGAGGGTGGCAGACGATATGAACGAGGAGCTGCCCAGCCAGTCGACTCTGCCGAGTTTCTCCCCTACCGAAGCCGTCGGCGGTCTCAAGGTCACCAGCCAGGGTATGAGGAGAAGACCACCACCACAGAATGGGAACATAATGTAGAATACCCAGCGCCATGTGGCCATCTGCGCAATTGCGCCACCAATGACGGGACCGGCGCAGTTGCCAAGAGCCCACGCCCCGAGCCTATCAGAAGTCAGCATGTGTCCTTAAGCAGGCTCGAACGCAAAACTTACACGGTGCCGTACCACTTCGGTCGGAAACGGAGGGGCACAAGGTCTGTGAAGATGACGAGACTCAAAATGATAATCCCCGCTCCTCCCACGCCCTGAAGGGAGCGGCCGACAATCAGGACACCCATGTTGGTCGCGAGGCAACAAATAAGGGAACCCAGCGCAAAGACGCCTACGGAGCTGACGAGACACACCGGTCGACCGAAAATGTCGCTTAAGGAGGCAATAGAAGGCATCGAAACAGCGTTCGCCAGGAGATAAGCGGTGCCAACCCAGAACCCTTGCGTTGTGCTGCCTTTCAAATCGCTGACAATGGCCTATTACGAGTAAGAATGACAGCTCTTCGTGGCGGAATGGTGTAGCCTTACGCTCAATGACGTTACGATAATACAAGCATCAAGCGCGACCATCAACGACAGGGTGGACAGAACCGCCATAATGGCAAGCTGATGACGAGAAGGGTTCCATTCTGGCGTGACCGCCGGTACGGTCTTCTCGGAGGTCGGTAGGTCTTCTTCTGCGGCCGTCATGAGGGGATCGATCTCCTTTTTTCAATTCGTCAAAGGTCGTTTCCGAACCTGGATGATCCGAGTGTGCAACCCGTCGGTTGGCGTGTACACCGACGAGTTATAGAACCAGGTGATGAACGGTGGGCAGGGCCGAAGGGCCATTTCTGGAGTCATGCGCCGGTGAGTTCCGCTCTGCACAGCGCCACAATCAGACCCGTCCAACGGCTCGTCCTGATGATGCCCATTTCGGCTTTGGTGACGTTGAAGACTCGCAGCTGGCAGCGTTTCTGGATCTTTAAAGCGCTTAATTAACTAACCTTGACACGTATTCCCGGCTTTCTGTCTGTGTGGTTAACCTCGCAAAAGCATAGCATGAAGGCCAGGCCACAATGCAGCCTCTCCTCTACTGTCTACCCTACTTTGCATGGCTCGCTCAGGCAGGGGCGTTAACGCCAGCCGAGCTTCTGGCTCAGACCCCTCGGTGTACTGTAGGTTCTCTCCCTGTCCCGTTTCGCTCCCGGCTAACGCGCATAGCACCGTTGCATCGCCGACGCCCTCGCTGGTCTCAATGGCGATTTGTCGAACGTGGCATCGTATGTTTGCGAAAACACCACGCTGCAGTCTGAGCTATCAACGTGTACGCAGACAAGTTGTTTGTACGCGGACCAAGTGAGTAAGTAATCGCAACCACTCCCCAGCACTGCAGCAGCGCGACCCACTGACCGTTTGTAGACGCAGCAAAGTTGGAAACCGAACTCTGCGCTGCCTTTCCCAAGGCATCTCGGAGCCATGACGTTAACCGAGCAATCATCGTCGGCTGTGCCTTGGTGTTTCCGACTATTGCACTCCGACTATATACTAGAGTCACTTGCACTGGGAGGCTGTGGGCAGATGATTACGCGACAATCTTAGCAGCTGTTGGTATAACCGTGCTATCGCGATTGGAGAAGACTTTCACACTCACTGCTTTATTAGGTTTTACTGGCATCCCTCGCCATCATAGATCTCTGCAGTGCACATTTAGGTTTAGGCATGCACTACTGGACAATACCAACTGGGCACGGCATCCTGATTCTCAAAGTGAGTCTGGCGTTCCTTGCCTCCATTACTCCGCTTACAAACTAGCTATTCTACGCCGAGTCAATAATCTACACTCTCCTCCTCATTACCAGCAAGATTTCCATCTTACTGCTTTACGCGCGGCTCTTTCCTGTCCAGACGTTTCTGTGGGTCATTAAAGGCCTAGGCGCCTTTCTTGGGTGTCATGGTGTCCTCTATGTGCTTCTCATCGCGATGCAGTGTCTTCCAGTCTATACAATATGGGATCGTTACGTGACCGACCGGAAGTGTATAGATGTCACGGCAGTTGCCTATAGCAGCGGCGCGCTCAGCATTCTTGAGGACGTCGCCATTCTCCTCTTGCCCATTCCCCAGGTGTGGCAGCTGAAGATTGACCGCCGCCGACAGCTAGGGCTGATAGCGATATTCAGCATTGGTTCATTGTACGTATCTCGTAATCTATCGCCGTATAGCCCAGACTTACCTGTCGCAGCGCCTGTTTTACCTCGATGATTCGGATGAAGTTCGTCGTGCAGTACAACGCTACGTTCGACGCAACCTGGAATAACGTCGACATAATCGTTTGGTCTGCTATCGAGCAGTTCACCGCTATGTTCTGCGGGAGCCTGCCCGCCTTGCGTCTTCTTTTTATTCGCGCTCACCGTAGGGCCTCCGCGGAGATAAGGCAGAGATACGACAACATGCCGTCACGCGCCTTGCCGTCCAAAAATTCCATTCCAACCCAGTCTCCGTCGCGAGGGATATGGAACAACCAGGCCGCCGATACACAGGCGAACAGTGCCTGCACCGGCAACCAGATCGGACAAGGCGAAGACGGTATTCGGGTGACTACGGTCGTCCAAGTTTCGCAGGAGCCCGGAACATGGCTTGATGATAGCACACAAAATCATGACGAAGACGTCGAAGGTTTGAGTTTGCCACCGGCATGTTCAGGTGACAGTGACAAACAGGACGAGAATCGTCACCCGCAGGTAGATAGAGCTTGGTAATCAAAATAAATGAGGAATCTATATACTCTAGCCAGCCTAAATCAGTATGCCTAGTTAACCGATTGAGGAATCCAAGTTATGTGTTGGTGACTCCGCTATAGAATTGGCTCTTCGGTATTCTCCATCGTTCTCGGCGCAGAGGTGTTGGCGTAAGTTCATTGGTCAATAGCGAGGTCGTTGATGTTGCGGGGGATATAAGTTGGGTGGCCAGTGACCTTCCCAACGGACGTTCGTTTTGGGTTTGTCATCGCAACAGTTGACAGCCCGAGGGAGTCCAATTTACAGCAGGGAGTGTTCGGATCGAAACGAGTAACTTGAACGCTCGCTGCTGCCTGTCATTTGAATCGAACGTGTCGCGGACACTGCAGGCTTTTGGGGGGTAGAGGGGGACGTCGCCTTGGTTCAACGCTAATCACCGAAAAAATGGCCTCAAATCATCAAGTGTACGCCATCCGGTTTCGGGGATAACTGTTACTACCCCTGCGCGAGATTGATCTGAACCAAACGGCACGATTGTGTGCCAAAAATCATACAAAAGACTTGCAAAGTAGCAGGATTACATTGCGTTGTCCTCCGTGCTAAACACCCCTTAGAGATAGCGGTCTAGAGAACGTCTTGAGCGACGGTAACCACTAGCCGTACTACAGCCTACACCCTTTGATAACTACTGCCTGAGCGCGACTAAGAACGCGAATGTCAACGCCTTTTATGTAAATGCTAGAGATTCCCAACTTCTGAATTGTCCGTTCACATATGTGGTAAAACCGGCTCTCCTCCCTGTATGTCGCTCCACAGTGCAATGTACCACGAGAGAATTTAAGACATTCCACCTCCATGTATATAAACCTTTCTGAGCCCTCCAATTCCCCCCGCTCTATGCAGAACGTAATCTGTGTAGGCTTCCCCCCGTCCCAATCTATCTCATACGAACCGTCCTCGTGTTGCCACTCCAACTGAGATCCGCGCTTGAGCTTCTCCCCAATGGCCTTTTGAATTACGTCTAATGCAGGTCTCGCCAGCTTGAAGATCATCCTCCCGCTTCTTGTCCTTTCAAGGGCTTCCATATTGATAGGCGCAAAGAGTGGTAGCATTCTAATTGGGACTGTGATCTCGGCTCTACAGTCTGTCCGCCTACGTCCCTTAACATCCAGTTTAACGTTGAACGGGCTTGTCATTGTGTTTTGTGGCTGTGTTGACTTTGAGAACATGGGATACATCCACAAGCTGTAGAGAGCAAGATAGCACAGATGACTGGTAAGAGGGGCTGTGGTATTTATCTGCAGCTAGGCTTACACTATGATCCAATAACTATCCATTTCTGGCCTTTAGTTGTCAATAATAGCGCTCTTTGTCCATAAACACCACAATTTAACGCCCCCCTGGCGGAGCCGATAGTTCAATATCGGTACTGTGAAAACAGTAAGTTAGCATTTTCGTGTTCCTCCCAATGAGGCGTAAGGCCGACAGCCGCTTTTGCATCATCAACCTCTCCTCACCAACAACGTCGGTGCAAGTCAAGCCATTTTCTCTCAGTCGTCGTGAACTTTGTCTTCTACAGGCCGCTATCGTACTTGGGCCGGCCTCGTTGCTCTTACCCGCCAAACATTGTTCCTCGTCAGGCCGCGCCGCCCATCTTGCCTGCCTCCCCCGCTGCCAGACTTCGTTGGGCCCACTCGGGCTTGATCGGCATTGCATAAACGGTGTAATCCGTACAGTAGTTCCGCCTGACCTTAAAGTGATTTACGATGACGAGCGGTTCATGGAAGTCCTTCAGTCGAGCGGGGGAGCTGAAACCGCGGCACAACATTGTCTGTCAGGGTATTCTGCCCAGCACAGACCCGCAGGGGTAATCAAGTCGCAGCGCCTTTTGGATTCCTTCGTCACATGCCGAGTTCCCGTGTCCTTTCTCGGATCCGAATGACGTTTTCTCTCTCGCCGTAGTGTCGACGGGATCCTGTCGGTGATCCTACACATGCCGACAGCGGTCCACATGACGATGACTTCGCCCTGTTCCCACCGCTGCCAAGCATCTGTCGGCAACTGCGCCAAGCATCTTCGGCCGGAACGTCCAGGGTCTACGGGGAAAATCTCAAGAATCAATATCGACAGCGACGGCAATGACCAGTTCGCCTCGCCGCCACCACCGCGCCGTCAAACCGTATCACCGCTCCTCCTCCAACGACGGTCGTGGAGGTACCAGCCAGCTACAGCACAACGAGTCAAACGGAGCCGCCCGAAACTAGAGACAATCGTGGCTCGCTCAGCAGCAGCACTCTAATTACCAAATCTACCACACAGCTCGCACCGTAAGCACAAAACCAACGACCTCTGCCAAGACCAACAGGACAACGAACATTTATATCCCACGCACCTCACTCTCCGGGCTAGGCTATTTGCCGTAGTCGAAGTCCCGCGACGAGGCCGACCTAACCCTTTTCTGCCATTGTCCAATACTCCAGTTTCGCCTCTAGTGATACTTGGATCTTGTTCTCCCATGAACGTAAGGCCCCACATGCGGGCCCACCCCCTTTCACAGAGCGCACCCACCCATGCCCTAGTACATGATGGCCAAAGCACCTCTATTCATTCCCGAAACTCTTAACCCAAAGTAACGTCACCTACATAGATCCGGGCCGTGCACGGATCCGGGCCAGGCAATTTCGGCTAATTTAGGGGCACCATAACACCATGCCCACCATCACCAACATGATCACAGCTGGGTCAAAATTGAAGCTATTCACAAGCAGACGACAGTGCCATGGCCAGAAAGCAATGGGGGTCTGGAAAACACATCCAAATCCACCTACTTGAACACATCTGGGCCCATTTTGTAGTCCTTCCAAACACCCTTCGCAAAGCCCACTACCCCTCTTAATGCTATACGACGTTCCTTTTCCCTGGCTTCCACGGCTTCCTTAGCCTCCCTTTCACTTATGCGAGCCCGGATGTCTTCCACAGTCAGTACCCGGGCCTCACCAAAATGCTTCCTCGAGGACTTTTTCCGGCTCTCGAACCTCTTTTTCACTACTTCCTGGGTCAGGGCCCTGAGTGTGGTATTGTCAGCTTGCGTAGTTAGGAAGTAGTCTTTCATCCAGGACAGCCTGGCTCTCTTGGGGGTATCACAAATCTGGAACAGTTCCTCCACAACCTGGTTGATCTTTGTAGCCATGTCGCCAGTCACCGGGAGCTCGGCTCGACGGCCCTGTTGATCAGTAATACTGACCATCGCTGGGGTCTTCGGCCGGTCAGAGGTCCTGGGTCTGGGTGCCGTTGCGGGTGCTGTTGTGGGTGCCGTTGCGGGTGCCGTTGCGGGTGCCGTTGCGGGTGCCGATGTAGGTGCCGGTGCCAGTGCCAGTGCCGTTATAGGTGCCTCGGCTGGCCTATGCCGGGCTAGGACCTTCTCTGGGTTGTAAGGTAGTAACCCAGCTCCTCTCCATGCCTCCGGAATGTTCCGGAAAATGCAAGCCCGGGCCTTCTCATAATACCGGAGGAACTGGTGGTTATCTACCTTGACAGCTCCGAACAATGCCCCTTCAGTAACTAACTTACGGTAAGCCTTAGCCAACGGCCCGAAGACCCCGACATCAAGAGGTTGCAATTCATGTGTCGAGTGTGGTGGTAAGCAAAGTGGTATGATGTTGTGCTCCTCGCAGTATTCCACGAACTGGGGTGAAACATGGCTTGCATGGCCGTCAAGAATGAGGAGCCGGTATTTACCATGTGTTCGGGGTGCCGTATACTTGTCGAAGTGTCGGATCCATTCTAGAGCAATGTTGCAATCGGTCCAGCCGTTCTCACTAACCCGGATAACAAACTGGGGGTCGAGGTCCTTGGGAATCCACGCTTGTTGAATGCGTTTGCCCTGGAAGATGACGAAGGGTGGAAGGACGTCATTGTTGGCCGAGATGCATTCGATAATAGAGACCCATTCGCGGTTACCGGGTTGAACGACGGTCGGCTCTAATGAATCCCTCGGAACAATGACTTTGTGGTTGTCCCCCATGCCTTTTATGCACCCCTTTTCATCCATGTTGTAGGTGTCGTCGTCAGCGATGTTATAAGCCAACTTGATAGTTTGATATAGCTCGAACCAATGTTGTAATGTGTTGTGATCGACAGCGTCCTTCCTAGCTTGGTCCAATGCCCGGGACCTTCGAGCTTTCAATTCCGGGTGCCGGTTCAGGAAGTTGTAGATCCACCGTTCACCCAAAGGCTGGATGTCTCCCTTAGCCAGCAACAACTGGGCTGCAAGATGTTCTAGTGCCGAGATTGACATTGGCCAGCCCCAGGCATCCAACTGGTAAATGGAATTAACAATGGATTGTTCCTCCTGTGGTGTCAACCGCTGCAAGTGCTGGGCTGCGGCCCGGTGGTTCTGCCGTCGACCGGCATACCGTTCCTGGAGGGTGGTTCGTGGTATGTCAAAGATGTGGGCCGCGTTTCGAACGCTGGGGACCTCCCCGGCTCGCAGGGCTTCAATAGCAGACTGGATGCGTTCTTCCTGGCTGTTGGTACGCTTGCGTGGTGGCTTCTTGAGTGTGGGCTTGGGAGGTTTGGGTTTGGATTGACTGGGCGCCATGGTTGATGCGGTTGGCTGACTGCGTTGACTGCGTTCATGATACGGTTAGTTGACTGCATATGATGCGGTCGGTTGAGTACGTACCATGCAGTCGGTTGACTGCGTCGATTGCAGTGGTGATGTGGTATGTTGACTGCGTTGGTGATGCCGTAGGTTGACTGGTATGTGGAAAAGGTTAGCTATTGTCAGAGGAGTTCAAAAAACAGGTCAAACCATGGATTCGTTGGAAAATGCGGTCAAACAGCCTGTTTGATGAAGTTGTTCGTGATGTTCATTGTGGCTGACAGTCGAAATGAATTCAGGCCAGGACCCTGGCCCGGATCCATACACAGCCCGGATCCATGCAGGTGACGTTATAGCCAATCAAGAAGAGCTGCCCCACACCTGCTGCCTCAATGACCCTCACGAAGGTTTGGACCAACAGTGGTGGCCATTGCTGTGTCCAACTCGGTGAGAACTGTATTCCCTTTTTGGTGACTGTGGCTGCTCAAGCAATGCAGGTGGCGATCGGGCGGCTCTTCTTGATTGGCTGTGGGCCGCTTGCGGAGTAGCCGGCGAGGAAGAGACCACTAAGTACTTGGTATTGCGCGGTCTTTATCGGTTCCACTCGTGAGCAGTAGCAGCATCCCCTCTTGGCGGCTGTGGGTGCTCGAGTTGAATCCGACCGTTCCATTCAGGCAGTAGATGTGGGGCAGATCTTTTGATTGGCTGTAGAGAGCTGCATGCGGGGCTCCGAAACAAGGCCGCAGATTCAGTGGCGTTGCTTGGTGAAGGTCATCAATACCCCCAACCACATATATTCCAGCAGCTGCAAGCACAGCCTGACGCACAAAGCGCATAGTGCATGCGCAAAGACCTGGCTGAGAAGCCAACAGCAGATCAAAGTCCACCCCTTCCTCAATCCTGAGCCTCATGCATAACGTATGGGTAGCAGCCAGCTATACAACCGGTGAACGCCGCCCAAGACCGCCACAGCCCATTGAGAAGAGCTGGCCCACATCGCGCTGCTTGAATGGAAGATCGGGTGTGGATGAGAAGAGTTATGTAATCTACAATGGCTTTAACGTACTTATCCCCGGTCTGGCTTTTCTTTGGCGTTCCTCACCAACCATCGTTGCTGTCTCTAACACTGTTGGCGTTGCTGTCCTCACCACCGTTGTTGTTGCCGTCTTTACTAGCATTATCGTCGCTATCTTCACCACTGTTGTCGTACGCCGTTTCCTTACCACCATTATCGTTGCCGTCCTTACTACCATCGGCCGTTACCGTCCTTGTCAACCGGTCTTTACTATTATAACGCCATTATATCTTTGTAATTCTCCGTTACTAAGGATACTTTATTCTTCGGACTCGACGTTGGACTGGATATATACTTATCGAGGCTGGAGGCAGCCAAGTCCTTCTCTTATATATAGAAGAATATAGACCGGAATATAACTATGCTAAAGGTACTAATGCCAAATGCATTTGGGAAACGTTATATAAAGGATACATTTAAGGAGAATGTCGAACTAGTAGTAAATAGGGCGCCTAAATCTCGAGTACTTATGCCTCTTGTCGAAAAGCTAGGATCTAATAATTCCGTCATTAATATTTTTATTCTGGCCTGTTTTATGCTGTCCAGAACTATATATATACTTCTCGATAAGCATAATCTAGCAGGTGTCTTCGCCAAGTTCCTAACCTATATTGTTAATGACTATACTGTTTTCTATACTATAAGAGAAAAGTTTATTAAGGTTATTAGGAATATATACCGAAAGAATAGAAATAAAACTAGCGATAAGCTATTGGGTTTATTTTCCCTTATATATACTTACCTATATTATAGGCTAATATATTTAGGTGCTATTAAAACTAAAGGGGGTAGCCAGAAGCGATGTTGTCTAGATTATCCTAGTCTATAATATAGCAGGGCTAAGCAGAATAAAGTAGAGAGTCTGGTCTTCGATCTAGAACTGCTCTCTCCGTTAGAGGGAGAGATAGAGACTAGATACGCTAGTATACCGCCGAATTATATTCCGAAGCATAAGATTTTGACCTTTGTTCTATATATTCTGCTAACTCGCCCCTATAGAAATTATATTCTAGTTTATAGGGGCCTTAATCAAGCGGCTAGACGGGGTCCTTAAGGGATCCCCTATTGATTAAAGCGATCAAAACCAGCAATCAATGGCGCTGGGAAAGGAACAGAGACGACTAACAAATAGATGTCACGAATTAACCAACGGCAGGCTGCAGGGCAGACGGCCGTATGTGGGGACGCGGGGGCGTCCCGAGCCAATCATTTGGACAACTAGGCGGACCAGTCAGAGACAGGCAAAGGTGCTAAGGTGCCAATACCGCTGAGCACTCTGCAGGATGTAAGCGATCAGAGTGATCAGGGGCATATCACGATGAGCACCTGGGTGCTCATCGAATCGAAGTACTGAGCACCCAAGAAGATAGCTAGTATATAGTCACTCGTTCTGGAGGACTCTGGGAGTTCTCCAGTGAGCAATATTACAAGCAATAGCCCATACCTATTGTGCAGACATTGCGGCAAGCATTGTTGTGAACCTTTTGGCTTCACCGAGACCTACAGTCCGACCAGCAGTTACCTTCGACCGGCGAACCCTTTCAGAGGCAGGACTGCCTGTGGTTTCGTCACACGTTGCTCACTCCCTTTGACTCTGTCACGGTTCAGATCGAAGGTACCACCGACCATCATGGCGCCCCAGACACCTAGCACCCCGGAATCCCAGAGCCAGGCCGCAACCATGCGACAGATGCAGCAGGCTCTCGAGACTCTCAACGCCAAAATCGCCCAGCTTGAGGCCGAAAACGGCCATATGCAACAGCTCGTCAACGAGGCCTACAACGGCAAGCCCAAGGACAAAGCCAAACTCGAAGCACCCCCCAAGTACGGAGGCGACAAAGAAGGACTCGCTGGATTCCTTACATCCATGAGGGCCTACCTCAAGTACTACCCGGACAAGTTTGCGGACGAATCCGCCAAAGTCATGTTCATCTGCTCGCGGCTCGAGGGGAAGGCACTTCGATGGTTTGAACCCACCCTTAAGGATTGGCTAACCAACAGTGCGGACGCTCAGGACGATTTCACCATTGAAATTTTCAAATCATACGACAAATTTGAACAGGAAATCCAGAAGGTGTTCGGAGACCATGATGAGAAGCTCCACGCGCAGGAGCGACTCGCACGCCTGAGGCAGACAAAGTCGGCGGCTGCCTACGCCATGCAGTTCCGCCAGGATTCACTTCGGTGCGAGATCAATGACGAAGGTCTTATGCAGTTGTTCTACGATGGCTTGAAGGAAGAAGTCAAGGATGAACTGTATCAAAAGGACCGACCCGACACGCTTGACGAATATATCGCCATGGCTATCCGCATTGACGACCGGATTTATGCCAGGCGCCAGCAGCGCAAGGGACGCGGAACGCAGCCTACATTCGTCAAGGCAAACGACAAAAAGAAGCGACAGTACCCCAGCACGTCGCATGGCACCCACGCTGGTCCAATGGACGTGGACGCCACCCAGCGTGAGGATAAAGGACGGAAGGACAAGTCCCAGGCCACCTGTTTCAATTGCGGCAAGAAAGGGCACTTCAAGCGGGAGTGCCGCAGCAAGAAGAACTGGAAGCAGGTGCCCGGCAAGGAAAATGCCACGATCGACAAGTCAACCCGCGTGGTTGAAGTGGCTGCGGCAAGCTACACCGAGGATGACTTCGACGACGCAGTTGACCGAGGCATGGCTGAAGGAAGCATCGATGACTCCTCTCGGTCAGGAAGCAATAGCCCCCACGTTACGTTCGAAGAACCCATCACAGGCTACGACATTGCCGCCGCCGCAGCATCACAACTCGCAGAAGGTTGGGGATTCCAGTTGACCCAGAATGAAGAAGGTCAATGGAGGACACGACAATCGGACAACGAACCCGTTGGCCCGAACCCCATCTTTCTCGCCCAGCGCCTTCAGGAGGCTGAAGAGGAACAAGCCGAGCTTCGAACAATTACCCGAAGACTCGCAGAAGAAAAGGCTCAGGCCATGAGCCAACTAGAATTCGTCAAGGCCAAGTTGGTCAGGGTCCAGGAAGAGCACCACTCGAACTTGTGGGATGGACCAGCACAGGACCTAAGCCAGGGCAGGGGGAATAATGGAATCAAGAACCCCGAGGCTGAATACCAGAAGGCCCAGAACCAGCGAAGACTCAAGGGGCAGGAACCACAAGATTGGGACACTTTTTGGAATAAGAAGCCGTACAACGGCGTCGGGGACAGCAACGCGGTACGCATCTGGATTGGATTCGGCCCGCGCTACGAACCCCACGAACAAGACGCACTTCGACTCCAACCCCAGCGATACGACCACGTCTACGTCCCATGGTTCCAGTGCATCGCGCACGAATGCCGATACCATTTTCGATCAAAATTCGACAACGACTTTTGGCCCGACAGGCCTACCGACCAAAACGGAGAACGCCGACCAGTCCCTATGGAAGGTCGAAAGGACCAACGCATACGACAGAATCAGGGTGACACCGCGAAGAACCCAGCCAGAAGACTGCCAGCGGTGGCCCAATAGCACTCGACAGTGCAAGAGCCAGGATTGCTTAATCCATATGCAAGCGAAGCTCCAAGAACATCACGAACGCAAGACACATACACGAAGATGGATGACGCCTCGCGAACGACGAGAGGAAGGAAGAAGAGCCAACGAAATTCGACAATTATTCGAAGAACTCCCGAGACTTGGACCGCAGGACGGCAACCAAGAGGCACAGGAGGATGGGGACGCCTATCCAGACGCCAGGACGGAGTTGGGAAACGGCTCAGGGCCCTCCGAGGGGCCCGGAAACCACTAAATCCATCACAACAACGACAGATCCGCGGGTGCAGGAAGAACCACGCAAGGAAAAGGATCTACGACCTCCCAGCGAGCAAAAAGGAAGCCGCTGCGATTCAGAACGACAAGCCCGATGACAGAATCTGGGTTATGGCATACTGGAAAGGATTCCAAACATTGGCACTGGTAGATGGAGGATCTCAGGTCGACCTCATCTCGCCAACACTTGTCAATCGACTTAGGATCCCGTGGAGGATCAAGAAGAAACAGCACATCGTTAAAGGACCATTCGACACCCAATGGGTACGACGGGAAACGGAACCACTTGAGATCACGGTGGAAGGGAAAACCACCAGAGTGGTGTTTGACATTGTTGAAATGGGGCCTAAGAAGGACATGATTCTAGGACGCCCATGGCATCGAGACTACGACCCAGACATCAGTTGGAAGGGAGGTGGCCACCTACGACCTCGGGAACAGAGGCCGTATCCGACCAACGAGATGGAAAGCGCAGACGACGGATCGCAGCAGGGAAGATCGCCCCGGAAGGCGGCCCCTATGGATCCACCGCAAGAGACGGACAGTGCCAGGCAGCGCACTACGGACTCAGGAAGAGGCGGCAGTCACCAGGAAGAACAGCGGGAATCGGCAAGACCAGGCCAGAGACGACGCCACTTGCGACGATGCCCTCGCACGGCTCAGAGAGACACAGACGACATCGAAATCGCTGTCATCTCAATCGATGAGACCGGAGAATTTGAATTCCAGGATTGGGTCACCTGGAGGGAAGCGGCCAGTATCACGGCCGGAGACAAGTTCTCGTACTACCGGAGTACAGAGAAGAACGCGGAAACGGGCAAAATCCCAGCGGAATACCAAGGACACCCGGCGTTCGAAGCAAAGCATCTTAAGGGGCTACCAGACCATGGACCTTGGGATCACGAAATCAAACTCAAGGAAGGAGCCCAATTGAAGTTCTTCAAGGTGTACCACACCAACGAAAAACAAGATGCTGAGTTAAGGAGATATCTTGAGGAGAATCTCAAGATAGGGCATATCAGACCATCGACATCACCGGCGGGCTACCCAGTCCTATTCGTTCCAAAGAAGGATGGGAAGCTTCGGATGTGTGTGGACTACCGACAGCTGAACGGAGAGACGGTAAAGAACCGGTACCCCTTGCCACTTATCTCGCGGCTTCGAGACCAGTTGGCAGGCGCCCGTTACTTTACTCGCCTCGACCTTCCAACAGCGTACGCCCACATTCGCATCAAGGAAGGGGATGAATGGAAGACAGCGTTTCGCACTCCCTACGGCCATTACGAGTACCTCGTAATGCCCTTCGGATTGACAAACGCACCGGCAACCTTCCAGGCGGTCGTTGATCATGCGATCCGCCCATTCCTCGACCGATTCGCAGTCTGTTACCTAGACGACATCCTCATCTTCTCCAAAACACTCGAGGAACACAAGGAACACGTGAGGGCAGTGCTAAACGCACTCCACGAGCATAAATTGTCAGTCAACAAGGATAAGAGCGAATTCCATGTTACGGAAACAGTGTTTCTCGGATACGAAATT